CCCCAAATCCCACCCCTTTGCCAACGTCCTCCTCCCAGTCTCCAGCAATCCAGGCGGTAACTACGCCAGCGAATCCTTCTTCAAAAAGTCCCTTGGCAAGTCCCACTTCTTCACCACCAATCCCTCCGACATCGACTTCTTCTTCCTTCCCTTCTCCATCGCCGCCATGCGTCACGATCGGCGAATCGGAGTGGGAGGGATTCAGAACTTTGTTAGGAATTCTGTAACTAGAAACAATGTCTATTGAAGCTCTGGCAATGGCAGGTGTAGATAACCTGGAATGTGATATAGATCTCGAGGCTTGGGAGCGATGCGGACAATATCGGAATCGTAACAACTGCAGGGAAAATTGGTGGTCTTCTTCTGTTTCTTGTTTGCTTCTCAGCTGCAACAGAAGCATCTTCTAGGCCTGGGTTTCTCACATTACGATTCAAGCACTTGATGAACATTTTTTTTTTGTTGACATTTTCTGAGCAAATTGTCCTAATTTTGAAACTGAAATTGTCAGAAAAGTGAGAAATTGAAACACCCATTTATGTGTAGTGATAATTTGTCTCACATTACGAATAATCTATTCTATTTATCTTTCGACATTTTTTGAGCAAATTGTCCTGATTTTGAAATTGAAATTACCAGAAAAAAGTGAGAAATCAAAATACCCATTTGTTTGGTGATGAATTTGAACAGGTTTTGGAGCAGCAGGAGAGTCTCTTCTTATCTGGTTCTATACATGTGAGTGATTTTTTAGCCCACGGTTTTGTTCAAAACCAGCTTTTGGTCTCTTCAAAGCTGCGTGCTACATATACCATCTCTTTGCGAATTTTTCTGGGTTTGGGAAATTTATCTAGTTTGAATGAATTTCTTTGGGTTTGGAGAAGGGAAATTTCTCTGGAGAGAAGGGAAGGCTAGGAAGGCCAGAGAAATTTTCTCTGGAGAGGAAAATTTCTTTGATGGCCAGAGAAGGAAAATTTCTCTGGAAAGAAGAGAAGACTAGAGAAATTTTCAAATTTTCTCTAGAGAGCTGAGTCTAGGAGAAGCCGGGGGGGGCAGAGAAATTTGTTTAATTTTCTCTGCCTTTAACTGAGTAAAATTGGTGAAGTCAATTTTCTCTGGGTTTGGGAAGTCCAGAATTTATCAATTTTCTCTGGTTTGAAAATTGGTCAAACTGAACCCAGAGAAATTTGAATTTTCTCTGGGTTGAACCCAGAGAAATTCTTTGGAAGTCCAGAATTTCTCTGGAGAAAATTTCTCTGGACCAATTTTCTCTAGATCAACTTAAGGGACCTTAGACATCATAAAAATATTAGATGTCCTTTATGCTATAAAATCTTAATACCAGAGACCTTAAAAAAAAATTCCTAATATAAAAAGTACAATTATGACAGTTGATATTCTCAAAAAAAATATTCTATTAAAGAATAATTTTGAAAAATTAATATTTTAAAAATATAATAATTGTACTATAAAAAAAAAAGTTAGGTTGTGTTCGATTTAACTTTCTATAACTAATTTCACCCTTACATTATAATACTATGTTTGGTTTAAGTTTTCAAATCATGATTCCAAATCAATTTCAACACACATTTTGAAAATATGTTTGGTGAACCAGACAGTTTTTGAATTTTTAGTCTACCCAATCGTCCACTCGGACATCCTCTCTAATGTCTGACCGTTTGACCGGAAAAGTACCTTTTTTTTTAAAAATCAAGTGAATATCAGTAATTAATTGGGAATCGCCACCTTTCGTTTGAAAAAAAAAAATTTATATTTGTTTTGAAATTTTTTAAATATAGAAAAAGAATTTAGACCAAAATGACAAATTATTTTTTTGAATTGAATTTTAAAAAGAGTTTGGTTATGAGTTTTGAATAGAATTTTGAATCGTGTGTTTGGTTATAAGTTACAAATTTTTCAATTAAATTTTGAAAACTCTTTTCAAAATTCATAACCAAACAAATTTTCTCATTTCATATGTCACATCAAAAATTCAAAACACTTTTTAAAATTCATAATCAAACAAATTTTTTCTTTTCAAATCATAATTCCAAAACTCACAAATTCAAAATACAATTCTATTCTCAAATCATAATTCTAGAACTCTACCAAAAGTTACATTAGATTCTCCAAAAGGGATTATTATTTTGGGATGGATGGAGTATTATTTATCAATTTTTTTGACTTTTAGTGATTATTTGGAATGATATATATTTTTTAATTTTTTTATGAAAATATATATATATATATATAAAGAGAGAAGAAAATATAATATTTATAAATATTTTTGACTTTTAGTGATTATTTGGAATGATATATATTTTTTAATTTTTTTATGAAAATATATATATATAGATATAGAGAGCGAAGATGATATAACCTTAATAAATATATTTACTCAGATAAGTATACTTATTTAATTTGTGTCAAATAATATTTTACTCATAATTTTCTTATTAAATAAGTAAAGAGAAAAAAACAATCGTCTGCACAAATCAGTCCATATATTTACCGTCTATTTGGATTGAGTAATTTGATAAAAAAATAAAAAAATAAAAAATCATCACTTGTTTAAATGATTAATAAGATAAATAATAGAAACAAATGAAAAAAAAATTATAAGAAAGACAAATTACTCCAAACTTAAGTTTTATTCCTCATCAAAATAATGAGATTTGATAAATAAATAAATAAATAAAAATTACACTTCATAAAAAAAATTATAATACTTAAATTATTCTTCTATACAAAATAAATAAATTTAAAAAGAATTTAAGTTATATACGACTGTCCCGTGTAGCCAGTGCTTTGGTCTTATTTGTTTTCAGAGGTAGAATAGAGAAGATTCATAATGAGAGGATTAATAATGAAGGGATTGTTAGTGAGAGGATTAAGTAAAATTGTGTTTGTTTTAATGATAGTTGTTAGTGTAAGAATTGTTAAATTATTTTTATATAAAATAATAAACAAATAAAAAATATAAAAAATTAAACATTAATGTTTTAAAAAAATTCCCAATATGTAAAAAATAAAAAATAAATAAAAAAATTTCTAATCCCCTCACTATTTTTCTAATACCACCTCCAACTCCTTCATCCCAATTCCCCTTCCAACCTCTATCTTAATTTCCTCATTCATCATAATCTCTTCCACAACTCTACAAACAAACACAATACTAAATAATTCCACCTCTATCTTAATCCTCTCCTATCTACTATATTCCAAAACAAAGGCCTTTGCAGATAATCAATAGATGCTTGACACATCATTTCAAATATAAAAAATTGTAAAACAGTCATTTAAATTTTTTTTTGAACGAAAATAGTTATTCAATTTAACCATGGGTCAAACCTCTCTCAACTTACTCCACGTTAAGAAAATAAAAATAAAAGCAAAAAAAAAAAAAAAAAAAAATGCTCCCTCAACCTGACCTCACCTTCACCTACCCTTGGCGCACACCTTGAACTTTCACCAAGTAGTGACAAATTTGTATGAATATTTTATAATTCGAGTTTCAATTATGGTGCCATTTGAGAACAAAGTTAAAAACTGCTTTTTGCAGTTTGGATAAAAAAAACTAGAAATTATTTTTTTGGTATCAAAATTATTTGAAAATGTAGTTAAAAATTACTTGTGAAATTACAGCTATATTCTTTATGGATCAAAATGAGTCACATGGATTAAAATGTAAATTTTTTAAATTGAGTGAGAGTATTTTGATTATTTAATTATGATATGATAATATAAACAAATATTAAGCATAAAAAAGTCAAAAGTAACTTTCAACCAACTTCTCAAATGATTTTCTGAAAAAGTCAAAAACACTTAATGAAAAGTCAAAAGACAATTTTTATTCATTTTCTCAAAACACTTCTATAATTAAAATAATCTCAGTCTAAGGGATTGTTTAGGATGTTTTAAATAAGTACATTTTTAATTTTTTGAACTAAAAAGTTGAAGAAAAAAATATGATTATTTGAGATAATTTTTTGACCTTTTACAAAAAAATGTTCGTTAAAAAATTGTATAATTTAGTGGGTAGGAAAAGGGAGGGAGAAATAGGCCGTATGTTGGGTAGAGCCATGGCAGACTAGCATATAGGAAATGCTTGACTCCTTTTCAGGCATTGAATTGGACGGTGATGTTCGGCTCGTGGAGGCCACCACAGGTCTCGTTTTGATAATCGGAACTGTTTAATGTGTAGAATTCATTGCGTACTATATGTTTGTAAAAAATCATATTGATCGGATATCGATAACTATTTGATCGGATTAGTTTTTTGTCAATCGTTAACTATAATACCATCTATTTTTTTATACAAAACTAATTTGATCATGTAGTTAACAATATCCGATCAACATGATTTTTTAAAGATGTATAATATTTGACGAGTTCTACATATTTAACGGTTCAGATCATCAAACAGGACCCATGATGGGTCCCCATGGGTCAAACAACACTATCCTTAAGCTTGCATCGGCCTGTGTAATTTGTTCTGACTAAAGTCAACAAGAGGCAATTCACGTCAACGTTATTTGTACCTTTTTTTTGTATAAAAATAATTTTTTTATAAATAGTAATAACTTTCTAATTTTTTTAATAACTTTTTATTTTTTTTTCAAAGATTCCAAACCAGGCCTAATCATTTTGACACGTTGGTCGAAAGTCAAAGTTACAAGTCAATTTTTTTTTGACTTTTTGAGTCATATTATATTTTTATTATTTTACAGTTAAAAGCTAAAAAAAAATAAAAATAAAAAATAAAAAATAAAAACCTAAAAATTAGTTTTTAACCAATTTTCCAAAATAAGGCTTCATTTGGCAAAAAACGTTGGGATTAAAAAAACATAAAAAAACAAAATAAATTAATTAATAAGATAAAATATCACAGCTAAATTATAATTATTTTATTTTTCTCTTGTTAAAATTAAAAAAAATCTCAACTCAAAAGATTCAACTAAAAAAAAAGCCCTAAAAAAAAATCACAAATAATTTCCTTTTTGTTTTTTCATTCAAGAAAGTCTGTTCATTGCTTTATTTTCTCATCTCACGGTCTGTTAAGATCCAAAGCCCATTAGAAAAGGGTGCTTGCAATACTTTCTAACCTTGTGCAGAGTCGCCATTGACTATATATCTGCCATTGATTTGGTCTCTAATCTTGGGTTAATCCATGGCTTCTAAAAGAACCCAACATGACTCTTCTTGTTTTGATTCTTCATCTTCTTCAACACCAACTCGCTGGAGCCATGACTCTTCTTGTTTTGATTCTTCATCTTCTTCAACACCACCTCGCTGGAGCCATGACGTCTTCTTGAATTTCAGAGGCGAAGATACGCGCAAAAACTTTACGGGTCATCTCTACACGGCTCTGGTTCGAGCTGGAATTAATACCTTTATGGATGATGATGAACTCCCAAGAGGACAAAACATTTCTTGTGAGCTGCTAAAAGCAATTGAAGAATCGAGGATCTCCATCATTGTTTTCTCAAGAAACTATGCTTCTTCAAGATGGTGCCTGGATGAGCTCGCGAAGATCATTGAATGCAAGCAAACACTTGGACAATTAGTTCTTCCAATATTCTACGAAGTTCTTCCATACGAAATACGGATACAATCTGGGTGTTTTGGAGAAGCATTTGCCAAATTCGAAGACTCTTATGCTCATGCAATAGAGATTGTGCAAAGGTGGAGAGCTGCCCTCTCTGAAGCTGCAAATATATCAGGGTTTTGTTTGGAAGAAGCAAATGGGTAACAAGCTCCGTCACTTACCTTCCTTTTAATTTTGCTGCTGCTATCAATTTAGTTTGCACACAAATTGAAGTATTTAGGTGTCAAGTTGATTAAAAGTCAATTTTTAACTTTATAGTAATATTAAATTACATTATTATTCATATTTTTATTTATAAAAAAATAAAAAAAATAAATTATTAATCACCTTCTCAAAACATTCCTAAATTGCAAAATTCACTTTATCACAAATATAGGTAGTTGGCAGATTTGCACGGATTTATAATCTAACATCTCATCAAAGGGCTATTCTACCCTTTACGAAAAAGACAAAACCAGTCTACCCCATCGCCAAGTTGTGTTGAACATTGAGAAGGTGTTTGATTTGTGTTTCGTAACGTATATGTTTTAAAAATATGTTTGGTTATAATAAAAAAAAATTAAAAATACTTTTCTTTTTATTATATATCAATTAATCAATTTTTTTTTTCTTTTCAATCAATTTTTCTCTCACACATATCTACTCAATTATAACAAAATATCAAATTATTTCAAACTCTCAAACTCTAAAATTATTTTCAAAATATACAACTAAATAAACCAAAAAAAATTCTAGATTGCGTTTGGTAGAGTTTTCTAAATATAATTTGAGAATAGCGTTATATTTTGAGTTTATAAAGTTTAGAATTATAATTTGAATGTGAAAATTTTGTTTGGTGAATGAGTTTTGAAACGAGTTTGAATTGAGAGGGAAATTTTTAATGTGACATATGATATTTAATACAAAAACTTACAACTCATAACCAAACGCACAACTCAAAATTTTATTTAAAACTCATAAAAAATTTTAAAAATTTTAGAAAATATTTTTTATTGAATATATAAAAATTAACATGTGTCGATTGCAAAAATAAATAAATAAATAAATAATTGTACTGTTCCGGTCAACTGGCCGGACGACAGGTGGGACGTATAGTAGGATGTCCGGTTAGTCCAAATTTTCTCACCTTGGTCAGAGTTTTCAAAAGTGAATGTATAATTAATTTTTGAAAACTATATACAAACACCATATGTAAATCAAAGCCTACAACTAATGTTCCAAAACTCTACCAAACAAAGACCTAAACTCTCTTTTTATAAATTTATTTCAAAATACAAATCAAACACACCCGAAATGTCCCCCGAACCACTCTTTCGTAGTAACACATTGTCGTTGGATCACTCTTCTTCTCCCTAGTAAATAACAACACCCCTCAATCATACTTGGGAAAACTATTTTGTTGGATTACTGCTACATGTGTGTGATTAGACCATCTCTAACCGTTCACCAAATCCAACATCAAATTAAAATTTGATGAGAAAAATGTTCTTTTTGTGCTCCAACAATTGCACCAAAACAATATCAAATTGAGAAAATATCAAACGTTTCACCAAACTGAAGACGGCTTGCCCCTTTCACCAATTCACTGTGCATAGCCATTGAGTTGGACCCACCGGACGACCGGCCGAACGTTCGGCTAGATGTCCCACCGAATGATCGCTTTAAAGCAAAAATTTGTGAAATTTTACACTGGGGGGTCGACCACCCGGTTGACCATCTTAGCATTTTTTTGAAGCAACAGAAATGAAGGCAAAACTTCAAATTTGCTCTTACCGGACGACCCTCTGTGTTTGATGCACGCTACAGTGAACGGTTAGAGCTGCTGGTATCAGAATAAGAAAATTGACATTTTTTTACTCAAATTTGGTGAAAAATTTGTTCAACCGTTAGAGATGCTCTTAGCAAAAATAGAATGAGTGGGGCTGCTGTACACTCTTTACGACTACAATCGTCAACCGTCGTTTTGGGATTCAATAATTGAACTAAGGCCTCATTTGGGACTAAGAGTCTGAAGAAACAAAGGCCGTAGCTAATTAATTACTGCATAAATTATATTAGTAGTTTCTATATTTTGTCTTTTATGTTATTTTAGTCTTTGCCTTTTTAATTAGTTCAATTTTGATTTTTAATTTTAGATTATATATTAATTTGGTTCAATTGATAATACTATTAGTGTTTTTAATAGAAAATAATTACTAAATTAGTTGAGATTTACTTATTAAGGATTCGTTTGGAAAGTGGGTTGATTTTTGGCTTTTTAATTTTTTAATTGTGAGAGAAAGAATGTAATGATTATGGGTTAGATGTAATGTTTTGTCTTATTTAATTAAAAAGTCTATTTTGTCTTTTTGTAGTTAAAATAACTCCAAACTTAACCCAACCCTTCTTCTCAAACGAAACCTAAGTAGATCAAGTTTATAATTTTGTTTCTAAAAACATGACATATACCCTTTATGTACGTATTTTCTATTAAAAAATGTTAACATTGAATTAAATTGAAATAAAATTATAAATTTAAAATTAAAATTGAATCAATTAAGTTTACAATAACTAAAATAACAAAAGAACTACTAACGTAATTTACCATTAATTATTCCATATTCATAAAAGAATAATACTACTTAGACCTAAAAATTATACTTATTTTTCAAAATTAATGTTCTGCAAATCTGCAATCTATTAAAATATTAAGATAATTTTTTCTCTTCATCATATTTTCTTTAATTATTATATATCATTAAGTTAAAAAGTAATTAAACTTCTGTATATTATTTTGGCGGTGGTTAAGAAAGGATAGTGGCTGTGATGTGATGAGATAGGGTGGCAGCAATGGTCAGGGAGAACGAGTGGTTATTGGATATTTATGTAGTCTAAACCAACCCTGTAATAAAAAAATCTTTATAATTTATACCTCATTTGAGATTTAATAAAATTACAGATTCTCCTCTAATATTTTAAAAATTACATTTTGTTTCATCACAATTAACATCGTTAACGGATATCATAAATTGATTAAAATATCTTTTTGACAAATAAGGACAAATTATCTACACATCGTTGAGGTTTAACTAAATTACAAATTCTCCTTGACATTTAGCTAAATTATCATTTTTAAATAAGTTATGAAATACAAAATTAAAATGGAAAAACACTTATCACACTACAAAAAATTAAGGTTTTAGAGACCAAAATTTAGGGATAAAATTATTTTTAGGAGACCAAATATTTTTGTTGCGAAAAGTGTCGTCATTATATTTTTAGCAACGAAAATTGAACATTAGTAATTAATTATTATCCATTTGGTATCAAATTTTTTATCTAAAAAAATAAACTATTTTGAGATCAAATTATTTTGTCTCTAAAAGTCTATTTATTATTGACATTTTTGAAATTTATTGCTAAAAGCCTTATTTTTTACTTTTTAGGGCTACATTTTAGCGATTATTCTCACAACGATAGAAATTAGTCCATAAATGTCTTTTGTAACAAAATTTTCACTTTTAGAGATAAAAAAAAATGGTCTCTAAAACTCTTATATGTTGTAGTGTTAGATGGTAAAAATATCTTAAAATTAACAAATAATTAAATAAGTTAAAAACATAAAAAATGACTTGTCAAAAAATTCTTAAAATATGTTTGGCTTGATTTTTAGAAATTTATTTTTTAATTTTTTCAAAAAAATTAAAAATTAATTTGGTTAAGAAATAAAAATAAAAAATAATTATTATTTTTATATAATTTTATTTTTGAGTTGTTAGAAATAATTTTTACAAATTAAATATATTTTTTCATATTTATTTTATTAAATTAGTTTTTTTTAAAAAAAATTGAATTTTTTTTTCTAAAAAACAAATCAAATATGGTTCCAAAAATTTTTTTTTTTTTTTCCATCTAACGTAATTCTTTTGTAAATTTTGTTGATTTATCAAATGAAGTTTAGCAAAGGCAATATCATTCATCAATTTATATTTTTGTGATGTCAACTAACTATTCTTAACGTTTAGTTAATGGTAGGATTAAATTGTTATGTGAATATAAACCTTGAAAGACGGGAGGTAATCTCTGAAATCTGAAAGAAAATTTATAATTGGCGTTGGCTTCTGTAAGGACTGGACCGTGCTGTTGGGCCCGTGGGGGCCCACCACGGGTCTCTTTTGAATAATCTGAACCGTTCAATGTGTAGAACTCATTGAGTACTATAAGCCTGTAAAAAAATCACGTTAATCGGATATCGGTAGCTATGTGATCAAATCAGATTTTTGTCAACTATTAATTTATTCACCGTCCATTTTTTTTATACAAAATTGATTTGATCACATAGCTACCGATATCCGATTAACGTAATTTTTCATAAGCTTATAGTACTCGACGAGTTCTACACATTGAACGGTTCAGATTATCAAAACGGGACCCGTGATGGGCCTCCACAGGTCCAACAGCATAGTCCAGTCTAATTAAGGACTGGACAGAAGCCAAGCCCTTTATAATTTAACTAAATCTTAAGGAGGTGTAGATAATTTACCCAATGATGGAGATGGGGTGAATGATCTATATATGTTTGCTGCTTCTATTTCACTATCCTTTCAAAAATATTAATATCACATCAATCTATAAGAATTTTTTATACAAAAATATTATTTGTAAACCATTTTTCTATACAAATTGAAGCTGTTATATCTATTTATATGGTGGGGATGATGTGGTGGATGTTTTCATATATTAACTGATATGTAATAAAATTGAGACTTGATGTCACTGTGTTTGGCTCAAAATTTTGAGTGTTCCGTCACATTAAATTTTGATTTCACTTTGTATCATATATTAATTAATGAGTGGAAGGGTGACACTATATTATCTTCGCTACGTGACATACTTATTACATAAAATACTTTCTCGTGGGTGGGTGAGGAGGAGAAGAAGATGAGTGTTTCATCGGAAAGTGTAAATAGGCCATGTTTATTTGGCTTCATAGGATGGTTTTGAACGTATCATAAAAAACCTTTCATGAAAATAATTATGACAGCTTTGTGACCTTTGGATTACACTTAGAATAAAGCACCACACACTAATCCAAGGTAATCCAAGGATCATAAATCTTTCATGATCATTTATATGAATTTTTTTTCATGATTCCTAACTTTTCTCTTTTGAACTAAAGTGCTACCATTAGTTTTTTCGTTAAAAATAATGAAAGGTGTGTCACAATATCCTAAATTGAGAGTAGGCAATGCAAAAATTCCAAGCCAAATTTAAAAATTGAATCAAATGTCAAAAATACATTCATCTTCATCTTTTTCTTCAAATTAAATCTTATTTCTAATCAAACATCAACCCTAACCCTAACACTAACCCTAATTGTCCTCTTCTATCAATAATTTAATTTAAAATTTTATTAAATGAGAAATTAAGTTAAAAATTAAAAGTTGGAGTAAAGTAATTTAATGATAAAATTAGGATATTTAAGTTAATTTATGGTTTAATTTGTTCAATATATATGTGTATATATATGTACATGTTTAATTTAAAATATTATTAAATAATAAGCTGGGTTAAAATTTTTAAATTAGATTAAAGTACTTTTATGATTTAATTTTATGGTAATAAATTAAGGTATATAAGTTAATTTATGATTTAATTTGTGATATATATATATATATATATATATGTATATGTTTAATTTAAAATGTTATTAAATAAGGTAATTTTATGGTATTAAATTAGGTTATTTAGTTTAATTTATGATTTAATTTTTTATATGTATGTATATGTTTATTTTAAAATGTTATTAAATAAAATTTGGTTTAAAAATTAGATTGAAGTAATCTTATGGTAATAAATTAGGGTGTTTAGGTTAATTTATGATTTAATTTGTTAAATATATTATTAAGATAAGAAATTATATGTATTAGAGAAAAGAGAGAAAATATGACATAAGGGTATTTAGGTAGTTTAATCACTATTATGATTAGAGTTAGCTTTGCACTTCCAACCAATGTTATTAATCCCGTACCATACAGGCCGGTACGTACCATTCAAAAGCCAACCGGTACCTACATAGTCCAATGCCATTCCGCCTAAAATACCGGCCGAAAAACATAATATCGGATAAATACAGGACAATTTTTTTTTCTTAGTGGTTTGTAATATGAAAACAGTAGAAATTTGTGTTCCATACTCTTTGTGAAGTACCTTAATATGTGTTATTTGACAGACATAGTATGTTTGTAAGCCTCTTTTATATATAAATTTGTGATTCATGATATGTATTGTTAAATTATTTGTTACTAAACAATATTTTTAATACATATATAATATTTTCACGATAAATCTGAAACGGTATCTGGTAACATACCGGTACCGGTAGGTACCATACCAATGGAAAAAAGAGTACCTAGTCTGGTACGGTATTAACAACTTTGGTCCAAACCATAAAAGGATTCTTTGCCTAGTTTTAAATTATAAGGGAATAAAATACTCCGAAACAAAATTTTAAGGGAATAAAGTGAATTTTGTTCTTTATATTATCCAAATTGTGAAACGATATTTTTGCTAATTAGATTAGGCTTGAACAATGGTCTCAATTAGACTACATCGTACACATCATGGACAAAATAAATGAAATTAATAGTTTGGGGAGAAAACAGAAAACAGTTTTAGTTTAGGAGATAAAAATATAATTAACCCTATATATATGTATGCACTAGCAGTTACTTGTTCATGTCCTTGCATGTAATTAATTTTTTTTTTCCCACATTACATACTTGTTTACTTTCTTTTTTTTTTCTCTTTTTTTTTGGGACCAAAACTGGCAGGCACGAAGCAAAGCTCATTCAAAATATAGTTGAAGAGGTTTTAACTAAGGTGAACCATACATTCCTAAATGTTGCTATGCACCCAGTTGGAATAGATTCCCGTGTTAAAGACATAAATTTGTTGTTGAGCATTGGATCAGATGGTGTTCGCATGATTGGAATACATGGCTTGGGTGGAATAGGCAAAACGACCATTGCAAAAGCTGTTTACAACTTTATTTTTCTCCAATTTGAAAGTAGTTGTTTTCTTGCAAATGTTAGAGAAGTTGCAGGGCAACTCAATGGCCTAGTCCAACTGCAGGAACAACTTCTTTCTAAATTATTAAAGAGAAAGGATCTAAAAATTGATAGTGTTGATAAAGGAATGACATTGATGCAACAAAAACTCCATTCTAAAAGAGTTCTCATTGTTCTTGATGATTTAGATCAATTACATCAAGTAATTTCCTTAGCAGGAAGCTATGGTTGGTTTGGTGGAGGAAGTAGAATCATCATAACAACTAGAAACGAGCACTTGTTGAACGAATTGAAAGTTGAAAGATATATGGTCATGCCTTTAAATCACACAGAGTCTCTGCAGCTTTTCAGTTGGCATGCCTTCAAAGAAACCATTCCATTAGAAAACTATACAGTGCTTGCAAATGGTATAGTAAGTTATGCTGCTGGGCTTCCACTAGCTCTTGAAGTTTTGGGCTCTTATTTGCTTAGAAAAGACGTGCAAGAATGGAAATGTTTATTCGATAAATTACAGCAAATCCCTCATATTAAAATTCAGGAAATACTCAGGATAAGTTTTGATGCACTGGATGACAAAATGAAGGATATCTTCCTTGATATTGCATGCTTTTTCATTGGAACGGACAAAGACTATGCCATTGCTACATTGAATGGTTGTGGTTTCTTCGCCGAAATTGGCATTAGTGTTTTGATCAGTAGATGTTTACTGAAAATTAATGATAGAAAAGAGCTAATGATGCATGATCTACTTCGGGATATGGGAAGGGAAATTTGTCGTCAAGAATCCCCCAAGGAACCTGGAAGGCGCAGTAAATTGTGGTTCCATGAAGATGCATGCACTATACAAGAAAAGCACAAGGTACGAGTCAAATCTTAATTCCTTCTGGTGGGTTAGTAAGTTTTTTGCTTGGAACAACTAATTCAGCTTCATTTATTCTTTTCTCTCTCACACACACGTGTTCATAGCATGCGTACAAAGAGTAATTACAAATTTGTTCCTCACTTAAACAATCTATGGGATCAAATGTGAATGCTTGGGCAACCAGGACTGAGTGCAGTCCAATGTGCTTGAAATCTAACTATTACATAGGAAATTGAGTGTGATCCAGGGGTACTAAAGAGGACTTAAAATTTTCTTAGGGGTTGATATGGAAAAGGAACAAGATAATTGTTGTAAAAGGAAACTGTAGTGCATTCAAAGCAATTGAAGTACAATGTGAATAAACTAACTTAACAGTAGTTCTCCCTCTTCAACTGCCTCCACCAAGAAAGCCTCACCACGCACTTCCCAAGTATCAGTGAACAGGGTATTAAATTGATCTTTGTATTCTTTGTCATCTAATTTCCTTCCTATGACATATTATATCTATTTATGCAGGAAGAACCAATAGCATCAGGAGAGGAATCTCCCATTCAAATGAACCCCTCAGAAATTGGAATCACCCAGTTTAAGGAACCACTGCCAAAAGCCCTAAAGAAAACAATGGCAGTTGATTTTGATAGCTTCTTTGAGTCCCTAACTAGGAGGTCCACCCCTTCTTGTTTTGAAACTTTTGGAAGCGCTAAAACTTCTTCAGCACATGGTCCCTTCTCTTTAGAAGACATTAAAAAGTCAAAGACAAGTCTGAAACAGCTCATTGCACTCTCCTTTCCAGAGGTACTTCATCCTGGAAAGCTCCCAGTACTAACAAAAGCAATTGGGACTCTAGTCCGTGCTCAAGCCTTCAGTGAAGATCATCATCCATTTTTGCAATGCTTTCATGATGACCTCCCTACCCTAAGCCAGACCTATGAGGCAATCGTCAGAGAGAAGGCAACCATGGATCAGAAACTTCAACGATTTTCACTCTTGGAATCTAAGCTGAGTGATGTGTATACATTCTACCAGAAGTTAAAAACTGAAGCAAGAGAGAGTGCCACCAGGAAAAAGGAGATTGAAGCCACCATAGAATCCCTTCAAGCTCAGATGGTTATAGCCGAGGCAAATTCTAGCAGGATTGAAAATGAAATCTGGAAACTGTTTCAGTCTTCTCGTCCTATGAAACAGGAGCAAGAGGCCTTGGATGCAGATCTACCCAACCTTAGAGCCAAGAAGGCCCAGCTTGATGCAGATTTGGAGGCCACCACTAAAGTTTGGAATGACTTCAAGGGAAAATTTGGGGGCCTCCTTTAAACTTTTTCTTTTTTTTTTCCTTAAGTTTTTTTTTTTTTAATTATAATCTTCCGATTCCTTGTTTTTTGAAATGAAGAATCTACACTTTTTGTAGACAAATTCACCATCTCCCACAAAGTGGGATAACATTCCTTGAGGAACTTTCCATTTTCAGGATGCTTGTGAATTTCTCCATCTAGGCCTTGGAGCAAGTAAACCCCTCATGTTCCATTTTCAGGATGCTTGTGAATTTCTCCATCTAGGCCTTGGAGCAAGTAAACCCCTCATGTGGATCTTAGACACGTAACATTCCTTGAAGAACTGTCCATTATCAGGATGCTTGTGAATTTCTCCATCTAGGTCGTGGAACAAGTAAACCCCTCATGCAGATCTTAGACACTTGAAATAACCCCCTTGGTTTTCGCCCATGCAGAAAATGGTCTTGAGCATGGGCATTGCAATGGTTCAACAGGATTCTGTGATGAAAATGGCGACGAAACAGCCGTGATGGAGTCAGAGACAAGTCAAGGTTTCTTGAAGCAACTAAATACATCACTCTAGGGGCTCTGAAGCCCAATCTACCAGTCTCTGGTGGTGATGGTGAAAGAGGAGCTGCCTTCCTCCACCTTCAGACCCTAAGAGTAGAGGCTGTTCCCAGTACTACCGAAAAAAAAAAAAAATAGGAAACATTAATGTGTATTTAAGAGGGAAAAGATTGAGTACACATATAACCTTTGGCATCATGCACAAAGTGATGGTCCCAAGACTTAAACCCACAACCTCAAAGTCATTAGGGGATGTGGTTTACCAATGGGAAATAAACAGAAGATCGGCACGGGATCTTCAGTCTCCAAACCCTTCTGTCTTTCTATCCTAGTGCACTTCTCACCACGGGATCATACCAGAAGATTCATGTGTATCGAGTGCATTGAGGTAAGAAGACAGAAATTTGGGGAGAGAAAATTATTACCCAGAAAATCTATGAATGCATGAAGTTTAAATGTTTAGTTTATAAAATCGTCCATGATTGGTATTTCTTTGTTTTTATGTGTCTAATTTCTCTTTTGCTTCTGTCTCATTGTGCAATATAAGCCTTGTATGGCCTTAAGTAATGGTTTAGATATGAATGCAAATAGGCTATTGCTGTGAGTGTGTTTTTTTAAAGTGTTTGAGCACTACGAAATCGAGCGCTTAATTGAGTAAAAAAAGGTTCAATCTTAATGAATAATGATGATTTTAATATATGGAATTGGAGACACCTCGATGCTCTAAATTTCCAGGCAGTGGCTTGTAAAATTAATCACAAATAACATCTATATATCCATTCTGGGTTCATTTTTCCTGTTACATTTATTTTTATGGTAATTTTGTCCACTATATATCATATTTTCCTTATTTTAGCACATCAAAATCCCTTTTTTTCTCACCAATCAGCATGAATAAAAATTCCTAATTTCAGCACATCAAAATTCCTAATTTTAGCACAGATGACAGCAATTAAAAATCTCCAACTTTAGCAAATCAGAACACATCATTTAACAAAGGAGGGAGGACCTGCGCTGTTAGACACACCTTCTTGTATAAGTAAATGACAAACCAAAAAAAAATATAAATAAAAATAAAAAAGTAAGAGGGATGCGTGACCCTGACCCCCTTACTTAAATCGGTCCCTGGTTACATAGAAAAATTCTAATATACACACGGACGCGGGGGCCCTGCTGTGTATTCTCCCTGTCGTGCCTGCTGTGTGCCTCGAAACAGCACCGTTTTGTCACTTTTTTTTTTTTTTTTTTTAATTTTTATGTAATGGTTTCGTTGACTCTTTGCTGCCGCCGTTTCTACACTCCAAGCAAGAGTAGAAAAGTTAGTTTTATTTATTTATTTTTTACACTCCAAGCAAAAGTGTCTGCTGTGTTAGAGTAGAAAAGTTAGTCTATTTATTTATTTATTTTATATATGTAAGAGTCTCATTAATTCTTGTTTTATTATAACAAAACAATTAATCTATCAAACTAAATTATATTTTTTTAAAAAGATTAATTTTAAAATTAAAATCAAACAAATAATACATGTTTTAACTTTTTCAAAACTGGCTTAAATGCATCAAAAGTAAAATTGAAAGGGAAAACAATTGTAATTAAACAAATCAATTTATCAAACCATAAGCAAAAAAAAAATGTAACTTAAAAAAAAAAAAGTTGTATCCACAAAAAAAAAAAAAAAAAAAAAAAAAAAGCTTAAGGCCAAAATATATTCAATTCACATCCAACATTTGCATAAAAAATAAAAATAAAAAAAATTCTAAGGCATTCAAACTTCAAAATCTCCTGTCAAACATCCAAAAAACTTATAGTCAATTCACATCCAACATTTGTATAAAAAAAAAAAATAATTCTAAGGCATACAAACTTCAAAGTCTCCTGTCAAATATCCAAAAATCTTTTTCAACCACTCTAAATCATTCAAACAAAATTCTAAAAATCTTCAATTTCAATTCTCAAAACAAAAACTACAAAGTAGATCCCCATGTCAATTTTGTGGAGGCAGTTGGGAATAAATAGAAAAATCAAAAGAACTCTCATTTCTAAATTCGGTCTCCATTGGATTGTGCCCCACTAGATGAAGTGATATTCCCTAAAAAAATAAAAAAAATAAAAATAAAAAGAAAAGAAAATTCATTAGAATAAATTTTATGGACTAAATTACATTACAAACATATATATATATATATATATATTACTTACTTGAGAACTTTGTGGACTATGTGATGCTTCAAAAAGCAGAGGTTGTGATTGTGGAAACCTTGGTGAGTATGAATTAGTATCACATGTGAGAAGATTATACCCATAATTTATCAATTGTGGCCAATAGAGACTCCCAACATCCTATATTCCATTAAACATCATGAAAAGTAAATACACTAATACATCGTAGTCTAAAAAATAAACAAATAACATAAAACAAGAGCTAACCTGTGGTTAGCTTAAAGATGAATTTCGAACATTTATGATATTGCTTGATTGACCAATAGTCTAAATAAGTTGTAAAATTTATCAATACATTACACAATTTATATATAAAAAAATAATAATAATAAATAAATAACATAAAACAATAACTAACCTGTGGTTGGCTTGAAGATGAATTTTGAATATTTGTAGTGTTGCTTGATTGACCAATAGTCTAAAGAAGTTCAAAAAGTTATCAATACTTTACACAATTTATAAAAATAAATGCATATCATTTGAAATTTCAAAAGTACGTAAGTAATACCTTACTAAGGCGGGTTGGTTGTGAAATAACTTTTGTCTTCTTATTCATCATCTCATGCCAAGGTTTCAATCTACCCCTCCCTTTGTGTCCAACATCTTTCTTCTTTATGCCCTTAACTTGTGCAAAGTTGGGGTCATCCGCATCTAATTCTTTGGTACCAAAATTTCCAACTCCCTTCATCATATTATTTACTTTTACACACAATTCCTTAATCCCTTCATCAACCAATTGATAGGAAGGTTTGTGCATAGATGCTTGAGTTGCTAGTTTCACCATTCTTGGACAAAGATCTCTATAACGTGCTAATATCAACAATTTCGGATCATCCTCATCTACTACAACATTTTTCTCTTCAATTTCACAATCTTTTGCATCCAATCTCCATCGGCCTAATATATTTTCTCCTCTTAGCCCAGTAACTTCCACCCTACCCTCCACAATATACTCTTCATCATTACCATACAAGCCAATCACGCACTTAACTTCTCTTTCTAACTCATGGAATTGCTTCACTTGACAACAAAGGGATGTATCCAACTCATAATGAAATAAATCAAAGATAGGAGGGGTGTACAAACTCGCAACCTGGATTAAAATGGGAGACTTTTTTAATTTCATTCTTGGCAACTTTTGTCTAGAATCATATATTGCAGAAATTTCCTCATACCGCTTATCTACAACAATCCGATTGAAATGAGTAAAGAATTGAACAATGTTATGATCACCTTTCAAATATCTCCTTAATGTTCCATTTAGACTTTCACTAAGTTTTGTGCTTCGCATTCCTCCAGTAAATACCCACTTCATATACACATGCGCCCATTGCTCTCTTTTTCTCCAAGTTCTTTTCATCCACTCATTCTCTTGCAAGTTGTATTTATCAATCAAAGAATTCCAAGCTTCAATTAATTCATGCTCATTCTCATAGTCATAAATGCAAGCCTTTAAATCGCTACTAAATTTTGAACCACTCTTGAAAAAGTAACCTAAATGCTTTAAAGCATTTTGCATTAGGTGAAAAGTGCACAACCCATGAAAAACCTCAAGCATGATTTGAGAAATTGCCTTAGCCATTGCTTGATCTTGGCATGTGAAAAAACTTATAGGCTTTTTTCCTGACATTGCATCCAAAAAAGTTTCAAATAACCATTCAAATGACTCTGTAGTTTCATCATACAATAATGTTGCACCAAAAATCACTGTCATTCTAAAGTGGTTAAAGCCAGAAAATAAAGCAAGTGGACGGTACTCCTTATTTGTTCTAAAAGTTGTGTCGAATGACACCGCATCACCGAAAAGCCCATAATCTGTTATCATCTGATGATCAACCCAAAAACTATTAGTAATCATCTCATCTACATCCAACTGAATGGCATAGTAAAAATATGGATTTTCTGCTACTCGCTGCTGGAAATATCTTAACAAACTCCCTGCTTCACCATACTGCAAGTTTCACTGTCTTTTTGCACATAAGTAGGTTTTCTGAACCTCCCATGTGAACCCTACAAATTCCTTCCCTCCTGTTATAACACTAATAAGATCATGTGAAGCCTTAAGAGATATTCCAGTCTCATCAGCTATATTAATATTTATACCCTGAGTATCACATACCTTTCTCTGAGATGGCATCAAATAAGTACATTAAGGAAGATGCAAAGGATGGTTGTGGTTGCTATCAAACTTTGACACAATCCACTTCGACAAGTCCCGCTTAAAAGATATATGCATGAATGCATTACAATTTGTTCTTGTCTTACTTCGAGGATTTTTTATCATCGTGTACCGTTTATCTTTTTCCCTCTCTCTTTCCTTACAACAAACAAACTTTCTACTAGTCATAACACCATCTTTCTTGCTTTTGTTACAATGATCTCTTCTAATACTAAACCCCACAATTCTTCCGTATTCATTATAAAACTCATATGCAGCTTCTTCCGATGGAAACTCCATACCAAGATATGGTGATTTATCCTTGGCCAACTCTCTCATTTCTTCGATGCATCCCTCAAGTCCACCATCATCCATTATACCATCCTCCATTTCAACACTAACAAATATGAAGAAAAAAAAATTAAACAAAACAAGAATCTGAGCAAAAAAGTTATTAATTAATTTTAAATGCTAAGTAATTAAACAATTCAATGAAATCTAATAAATCAATTAATAATGTAAATTAATTAAAAGGATAGGGGAGAGGAAAAAAAGATGTGTAATTTGTATAGTAATATTGGAAATTTATTTTGTCTAAGCAGATTATAATATACAATTGCAAATTATATTAGAATTAGTATATTATATAATATAGGGAATCTTTTGGCAGACACACTTAAAGATGTGAATCATATGCCCTCTTATTATATAAATTTTTGATATATGTTTCGTATTTTTGTCACAAATGTTATGTCATTTTTTATTGAGTTATGACAATTTATGATTAAAAAATTAAATTTGCATTATGTAGTATGGTATAGATTTTTTTGTTGAAACTTTTTTAAGACTGTAAAATGCATAATATTATTACAAAAATACATAACATTGTTATAAAAATGTATAATATTTCCACAAAAATGCATAACATTGCTATAAAAAAATTATGAATTACAAATTATCGTAACTCCTTAAAAAAATTATATAATATTTATACAAAAATACATAACATGTACAAAACAAATTACATAACAAAGAAATTTTCTTATAATATACAATTGTGTTTCTCAATCTATTTACAGAAAACAAATCAAACCATTATACTTGTTGAATCCACTAACACACTATACAAAATAAAATATAAAACATATATACATATAATATATATAGATATACATATACATATACATATACATACCAGTTTGTTGAACAATAATGGTCTGTAAATCCGACAGAAGGATGGTGAAGCAAAGACAGAGAATACTATCCAATCTGTTTGAGAGAAGACAAAAATGTATAAAAAATAAAATAAAAAAAATAATACTAATTTTTCTACTCCAACACAGCAGAGTCTTTTCCTTGGAGTGTTAGAAACGGCGGTAGCTTCGTAAAGGTGTCCTACTAAAGAACGAAACCCTTACATATAAATTTAAAAAAAAAAAAAAAGTAGGCAAAACGGTGCCGTTTTGAGGCACATAGCAGGCACGGCAGGGAGAATACACAGCAGGGGCCCCGTGTCCGATACACACACCCATACTTTCAAACATTAGATATACAAAACGAATTTGCCTTCTTAATGTTAGTCACATTAGGTTGTAACCAACACACTTTAGAGCATAAGCGAATATTACTTTGATCATAACCAAAGCTACTATAATAGTGTCGTAACTAACACTATTTTGAAATATAACCAAATATCACAATGTATCGTCACTAACTTTGATTTGACAATTTGCTAATTCCACCACTGCAATGGCCTATAACCAAACACTATAACCAATGCCAAAGTGTCCTATAACTTGCATATGGTACGCATGGTCTACTTTGTAGCAAGACATGGTCACATTTATGAATGGATCATTCGTATAAAAATTACGGTTCCAGAAATCTTACTTTGCGGTTTTGGTGGCAAGTCTTATGAATGAGGTTAACACAACTGATCCTAGTGACTTCATTTTTTAATAGATTAAGTTTCAATTTTAAAATTTTAGTGGAGATTCGTACTGTTTTAAACTTTAAAGATGTGTATGCCCAGTAAGTCACGTTAATGGAGTTGCTAAGTGGTCAAGTTATACTTTTTTTTTTTTTGTTTTTTTTTTTGTTTTTTTTTTGGGGGGGGGGAGGGAAGAAAATAGTGGAATTTCTCAATTAATGATTGTAAAATTTCTCATTTTTCATCTTCAAAAATGCTATATTAATATAGATTGTTTGATAGTCTACTCAAATAAATTCTAAAAAATAAATTTATGAAGAATGGATCTATAGTACGAAAGTTAAGAATTTTAAATTTTGAATCAAAATTTCAATTGCCTCGAGGTTCTTATGCAAGTTTTAATAAAATAAGTATATTTGCCAAGCATTGATGTGCGAGACTTAAAGATTAACAAATAAAAAATAAAATTGGAACTCTTTTTTATTATATTGGTAATGTGGAGACTTAACTCATCTAACTCAAGGGTGGAAAAAGCACATATAACCCTAATTGATAAAATTTATTTATAATTGAAGTAAATATTAATTTCTACAAAAGCTAAGCTCTGTTGGAAAAGTCTTTTTTTTTTTTTTTGGTTTTTGATTAAAAACAATCCATTACCACTTCAAAGGCAAGCCCTTTGGAATGGTGTTGGACCAAGTCTCATAATCCATGATTCTTTCATATCAACCTCTTACCTGTAAATTCACTAGCCACCATAAAAAAACTCTTCACGATGAGAGTAAGGAGTTCCAATGCTAAGACTTGACTTTGGAATGGAGAATCATTTCAAGAAAATGAGTAATAATTAATGTCCACACAAGTCCACTAGATTGTCCACGATTCTAAAGTCAGTAGTCACCATAGTGCTCGAGTAGAGATCGGACTAAACCAACAACAGTTCAGTTGGTTAACTTTGTGCACTTTTATTTGGAAGGTCAGGAATCTATTGTCAAAGCAAAAATGATAATTTCTCCTTATTATGAAGTTTTTTATTGAGTTTGTTGTTGAGCTTGTTATGTAGTTTATTCTTTCCATTATGGGGCCTATTATTTATTAGTTGGTGCTTCGGCTTGCTGAACTATTATGTCCAGATGTAATTTTCTTATTTTATAAATACTAACCTCAACTAGAAAACTTGTGCAAATATCCTCCTAGAGGTGAATGTGAATTGAAGGTTGTAACAGTCCCCAATCCGTAAATAACTACTAATTGTAATTAAGAATGCTAACTAAGTGTTTAGAATGAAATTATGTGTTATTATTAATTGTGATACGTCTTTGTAGTAATTTCATATCTGTCTGATTTGAAAATTATTATGTCATGATTTCTGCCTTGAATATTGAATTTGAAATTGTGAGCTTAAATGCTTTTGAAACCGATTAGTTCATGATTGGACTAACTAGAATATTTGAACATATGAGAAGTTTTGTAAAAATAATTTAGTTTAGAATAAAATCACATTGATTAAATTGAACCTTAATTGAACTATTTTGTTGAAACAGTGCTAACCTTGATTAATTAAGGTACTTGTGTGTTGATTAAAATGAGCAGATTGTACCTAATCTAATTCTATCCATGATCCAAGA